CACATATTTCTCTGGACAGGTGTCTCTCTACCTGTTTTGCTGTGACACTTGCTTGCCTTACCTATTGTCTTTTAACTGCTTTTCACCCAAACCAAGAACTGTGTTATATAAAGATAAAAGCAACAACTAAAACCGAAAAAGGCAGCATTCACGCTTCTATGACAGTGAGAATAAATGCGTGTTAGAATAAATGAATTAAGTGTGATCTGAGAAGAGAAATAACATCAGGCTGCTTAACGCAGACTGCATTGAGGAGGCTGTATGAGATGCCACCGATTTTAAAAAAGAACAAACCATGCAGGCAGGTTTGACCTTCAAGGTTCTCTAGTAGTAATTTAACTTTTTTCTTCAGGGTATAACGTGAGGCTTGCGTGTGTCTTATAAGGGTTGCAAAGCTTGATTAACTTTGACTTGGGGAAGTGTAGTGTGTTGTGTACAGATCTGCTTTGTTGGAATAAATTGGCAGTAGGCTTTAGATCTAGTAAATTTCCTTAATTTCTTCAGTGTGGACAGGGAAGATGTGGTGAGTGGCATGATCTGGTCTGGCAGTCTGCTTCCTTCCTCCTTGAGTTCTTGAGGCCCCTTGTGGACAGAAATCTTTAAGTAACGGTGCCTGCATCTCTGTCCTGGGGTAGTGGTGGTTTGTTCTGACCTAGGACTAGGCTTCTCTATAAAGCTGTGGTCCTTCTCCACTGAAGTACTCCACTCCTAGATGACTTCTTAAAAAAAATTGGTTCCTGTTTAATTTTCTGCTAGATATTTGTGTGTGTGGACTGAGATGTTACTACTCTAATTATTGTGTTTCTCTTTTTTTTTTAGACTATGATAATATATTTAAATTTAATAATTCTGACAAATGCAAAGCTGATATAGCAAGCAAGTTGAGAATTCTTTTGCACAGTTAAGGCTCCATATGGTCTTTGCTGCTATTAGTTTATAATCAACTTTGCAAAACAGTCATGAAGCATTAGGAATGTAATTTACACTGGGAACATTGTCTTGTCAGAAGGCTCTGATCTCTTACAATGACAGCTTACTGATGGTGTGTTGACCTGAACCCTTACAAATCATTCACTATTAGAATAATTAGAATATGTAATGATCCTGTTGGTGTATTTTGCCTTCCTTCAATATTTGTAGGATAGGAATGTGAAATGTAAGTGCATTCTCTTCTAACCTGTAGTTCATACTACAGGAGTAGAATATATGTAGTTCCCCAAACAGACTTGAAGCTATGAAGTAACTCTTGATTTAATTTCTTTTTCTCTTGTTAGTTTGTAGAAGAGCAAACTTTCTCACAGTAGTGGTGTTAAAACTATTGAAACTTATTAAATGATAATGTGACTCTCTTGACTGCAGGAGTTGGGAGTTCTAAGAAAAATGCAGATCAACTCCTTTCATTTTTCTCTGCACTGACCTCATTGATGCCATAGGTTATTCAGAAAGTGATAAATACAAGATCAGACTTGCACTGCATTGGGAATTGATTTGGTTAGAGGCAGAAGATAGCACTTGAGTACACGCTGTATTGAAACAAAACAGCCAAATGAACTTTTCCAAGTACTTTGTATTCAGGAGGTGGAAAATTTTATTTGAAGTTGCCCATGGCAGTGTAAGCCCATAGATTAAGTTAAGTGGAGATGAAAAATAATTATGGCTAGCAGTACTTTTCCTTAGGGCCTCATATTGACAAGAAGAATAAGTATATTTAAAAAATAAAGTGAACTGTTCTTCTTGCAGTTTGCCTTTGGTGGTAACTTCTTAAGCCTCTGTAACTCTACTGTATGCCTGAAGTGTGTTAGGCTGCCATAAACTGTCAGCAGTATGTGCACAGCTAGCTTGCCTCTCGTTATGAGGTGATGCAGTCAGTCTTAAACTCCAGTTAAATTTTTAAAGAAGATGAGTAATGAAACTCTACTATTACAGAAAAATCAAAACTGGAGAGAAGAGCTGGTTAAACACAACTCCTGTGCCAACCCCAGGGTTGCATTTGGTGTGGCCAGGAAATGGTTATGCATAGGAGTGACAGAGATGTTTAATAGCAATGGACCAAATGCATCCTGCAGGTTTTGTGTGGTGGTTGGTTGGTTTTTTTTTTTTTTTATTACGGAGAACTTCTTGTTCCAGATCTGAGATCTGGAACTGTAATCTTCCTGCCTTTAGAGTAAGGGTGGTTGCAGCCTGCTTCACTCTGTGCAATGTGTCTGCCAAGCTCTAGGTGAGTCTCTGGTGCTTTACTGCAGACGCAGCAGTGTCTATATCTGCAGCACAGATGAGTCCTCCTGGGATGTGGCTTGGTTCTTGGAGCAGTGCAGGCCTCTGTTTTTTCTTGTCTCCTTGTTCATGGCTGCTTGTGCAGTGTGTTCCCAGACAGGTCCATGTAATCCTATGATGTATTGATGGTGGCAGCCTTGCTTAAGAGTTCATGGTAACCCATACAGAAGTAGTGCTCTTGAAACCTGTGGTTTCTTCTGAAGCTGGAGATAAAGGATCCCTAGTTCTAAAGCACTTCTATGTGAGTGTCTTGAATGGCCAGATTGTTTACCAAACCCTGCTGGGAGCTTGTCCTTTAGGGAAGTGAGGTTTGTGCCTTCAGCTTTCAACTAAACACTAATTTTCCAGGGCATAGTAGCTTAATTCTTCATCTATTTAAATTTACCTCCAACTCAGCAATGGTACAATGACTAGATACTTGCTTTTAGCTGAAGTGTTCTTGAAATGTTTAAATTGCTCAGTGTTTGTGTAGGGAGGAATGCTGTGCAGCCTGACAGCCCTGTGCTAAGCTGACTTTACCCTCTTGAAAACTCTGTGGTGGCAGTTGCAACTTCGTTGAATTGGAATACTCTAATAGGGAAGAATTCTGTGGGATGTTGGCAGTGTGATTTAGTGGCTGTCAGCAGTGTACTTACCTCTTTTTTCTTTAGTTGGCCACAAACAGTTTTAATCTGCAGGAGTTTGTATTGAATGCTTATGAATACATCCTTTTTTCTTTGTCCTTGTGAATTTTTAGAAAAAAATTCAATCACCTGGAATAAATGTCCTTTCCACAAGGCAAGGCTGGATATAAAGAAAACGTTCTCCCTTACTCACTTAAAAAATTCATTTTGCATAATACTGTATTACATTACTTCAACCTCAAGATGTAACCATGCTGCTGCTTTTTTTTTTTTTATAAACGAGGATATAGCAGGTTGTTCCTCTCTAATGAGAGTTCAGAAATGGATGACAAAGGCTTCTTGTATTTTAAGTGTATCAAATAATTGGGGCCACTCTGGAGCGGGATTGTTTGATGGTTTTTCAGCAAGGTCATTAGAAATCCAACCTTGTGGCTTAAGAATAGCTTAAAGTAAATAATTTGTGTGCTATTTAGCTGTTTTTAAAACTTTGCTCCAGGAAGTTGTTATGAATTCAAGAACTATATAGCCTGAATTCTGCTGGAAGAAAGAATGTAATACCCTATTCTATTGAGTACCATATGAGTAAGTACTTGTAGCTCATAACTTGCTGTGCCCAGTTCTGGGCTCCCCAGCACAAGAAGGATGTGGACGTACTGAAGCCCATCATGGCCCAGTGAAGTGACATCAAGATGATTGCGGGGTTGGGGCAGCTGACCTGCAGGGAGAGCCTGAGGGAGATGGGGTTGTTCAGCCTCTGAAAGAGACAGCTTAGGGGATCTTGGAAATGTGTATCAATACGTGGTGGGGGAGGTGAAGAAGATGGAATCAGACATCTTTCTGTGATGCATGGAGAGAGAACAAGGGGTAGCAGCCACAAATTCAAACATAGGAAATTCCGCTTAAATGTAAGAAAACTTCTTTACTGTGAGGGTGGTCAAATGTGGGAATGGGTTGCCCCATGTGGTGGTAGTCTCTGTCCTTGAAGATATTCAGAACCCAACTGGATGTGGCTCTGAGCAACCTGCTTTGAGCAAGGGAGTTGGACAACAGACCTGCAGAGTCCCTTCCAACCTCAACTATTCTTTGATAATCTCATAATATAGTTAATACTGTTTCATGTAGGTTTATGCCAGTGCTCTGTATGCTAATTAGTCACTTTAGTTAAGAACCAAGGTAGACATAGACATCACTGGTTTCTGTTAAGTGCTGTGTCTGCAGCCTCTCTCTATGTGTTTATTCTGGCACACGCTGACTGCCAAGAAGTGTTGCTGACCTGATGCTTATTTTATGATATTGCAAAGTATTTCTGTTTCTCTAAATGTCTTGTATGAAGGATTATTTTCAAGTTTTTATGTCACTTTTCAATCCTATAATATTCCATGATTTCTCCCTTTATAGTAACATAAAATCCTTTAAGCCCTTGCTAGGCGGTGTTGGCTTTAAGTTTTCAACAAATTTTTTAGGTGCATCAATTTTGTACCTGTTTATCCTCTCTTTAGCTAGTTTGTTAGACTATGTATCCTCAGTCCTTAAATATAAAAAGATGTTACTTTGAACAAAAAAAGGGAAGTGCTTTGAAATTTGCTACATTTTTCTAAAAATATCCTTTAAAAATTCTTAATATTTTAAAAGTTATATTTTTAACTATTCTAGTTGTTGCAGGCAAGACAATTTTTATCCTCTGAAGTGAAGACTTTCCCATTGAATAGTAAATTCCTTCTTGTAATACTCTGTATCCTTCAGCTGCTCATGAAATCATGCTGGCTTGGAGCCTAACGCTGTTCCAAGAGAAATATAAGCTAAGTCACTTGTGTGACTATTTACTTGACTGTGTCCTACCTGTTTGTGGTGTGATGAAAATGCGTTGACTTCTCCTGTGTTCCTGGCATGACAAAATTTGAGTGATATCAGGCAGAAATTTTAAATATTTTTAAATGAAGTCTGTAGAAGTGAAATTAATTAAGGTTAGTTTAAATTATGGGCAAGTTATGCAGTAATAATTACTGGGTAACTATTTTTAGGGCCTTTGCTATAGTTGTCCTGGTTGTACCAGGGAGAAGGCGATAGCTTACTAATGCTCAAATTTGCTATTTTATCTTTCAGAGCTGTTGAGTCCCAGAGTGAGGGACAGTGTGCCCCAGTGGACTCCCTGTGGCGACGTTACAGTGAATTTGAGTTGTTGAGGAATTATTTGTCAGTTACCTATCCACATATTGTTGTTCCGCCTTTGCCAGAAAAAAGGGTAAGGAAGCTGAGGCTGCAGCTTGCTTTGTATCGTTTGTCACTTATTTACTATTAACACTCTTCTGTTTGAATAGGCTGACTTTGTTTGGCATAAGCTGTCAGCAGATAATATGGATCCAGATTTTGTGGAAAGAAGAAGAATTGGTTTGGAAAACTTCTTGTTACGTGTGGCTTCACATCCTGTTCTTTGCCAAGACAAAATCTTTTATTCATTTTTAACACAGGTATAGTAAAGTGATATGCTTTCTAAATACATTCTTTAGTAATTATTTTTCTAAGGTGATGTCCTTTGCTCTTCTTCCCTCCCATTGACCCATAGCTCGCTCTCTCTAGGAGAAAGATGGACAATGTGAATAAACTTAAGGTGGAAAAGGGTTGTCTGTAAAAGCTTCTTTACAGCCCACTGCAGTTGTACAGTTGGCCTTCTAATGTACCTTATGGCTTTTTTTCCAGTCTGGTTTTAAGGCTCCTAAGAGAGAATTTCTACCTCTTTGGAACAGCATATTGGGAGCTTAATGTGTGCTGGTTGGGAAAGCTTCCCTAGGTCTAGACCTGAAATAGTGCTATACTGCTGGCTGCAGAGACAGTACTGGCTTCCAATTCACTTTTTGGATAGCCATGGTTTCTTTAGCGTTGTAGCTTGAATCACGATCCGTTCGTATGTTATCACAAAAGTTGTGATCTGATTGTCAGCTAAAGCATTGCATTCTGTAATTTTCAGCTTCAGGAGATATTAGGCATTTCTTTGTTCTGTGCTTTTGATCAGAGATTCCTACGTAGTGGACTGAGCTGATACGTTTACCACAGTATAGTATGTAGACGAGCCAGTGTATGGGAACTGAAAGCAGTGGATGCTACAACCACTACACGTGAGCAAGGTGACTGTGTGCGCGCTGTAAACTGATCACATCAGTTGTTGCCTGTATGTTCCCTGCATGCACGCTGCCTCAGGCTGCACAGGTCCTCGGAGCTGCTGATAATCTAATAGGCAATAGATAATTACCCTTCTTTCTGAAGAGCTGAGCTGCTTCCTCAAACAAAGCTGTGTGGCTCCTGCCTCCAGTTGATAGATTGAGGTAATTGAGCACACTGACACACAGAGAAGAGGAGAGAGTTTCTTGGGGACGTTAGTATGTAAGCACAACATAATGTCATTTTATTCTTAATCCAGATTCTTGAAATTAAATAGGGAGGGTAGCTGAGGCAGAACCCAGGTTTACTGGAGAAGCTCTTCTCCTTTCAGCTCTGATGTGATTTGGATATAGGGACTCGCAAAAGCTGTGGCACTCTGAAGTCTAACAGAACATTCTCCTGTATTTTTAGGAAGGTGGATGGAAAGAAATGGTGAATGAGACTGGATTTCAGTTAAAGGTAATTACTGTAATTGTTTCTTGTGACTGCTGTGACACAGAAATGCTCCAACAAACATGTTTTAGGCTATTTATGAAAGGCTGTTTGCTGTTAGAATGAGCTAAAGGCATTGCTTTATGTATACTTGTAACTACAAAATACAGTGGTGTTCTTAGCATGTAATAGGTAAGATTTAAGTTGTTAAGTTCTCTAGCAGGCTTGTTAGTGTATGCTGATGTTTGATGCTCAGCCTTGTAATTCTAATAGTAGTACAAAATTATGATCCTTACAAGCTTTAAAATTAATGAACCTGGAGTTCATAGCAGTGCTTTTTGTATGTTGTCAGTTTAGTTTAGTATCGTTTTAACGATGGGTGTCAGATTTAGCCTGGTAAGAGATGCAAAATGTCAGGGGGAAAAAAAAGGCAAGCAGAGGGGTCTGAATTGTAGGACTTCTACAAGGATAAATTGTGTAAAGGGACTAAGATGGATTTGGTGCCCCTTAACTGTTTAACAGAATGTGTCTTGAAGTAGTACTATCCCCATTGGCATCACTGAGTTGATGGCTGGTAAACTGGTGGAAGACGTGCAGGAATAAATGATGAAGGGATGCATGTCTGTACAGGAGAATCTGCAAGAAGCTGATAGATTGCTGGGCTGTGCCTGGAAAAGTTGTTATATGGGAACAAATACTGAACTTCTGTTTCATTGTAACATATCAACCCCTATGACATCACAGCTGAAAACTAAGTGGATTATGAAGAATTACTCTGAATAGTGAGAGCTCAGGAAAACCATTGGTGCTCTTATCCTCAATGTGCAAGGGGCTTTGATACTGACATTTAAGTTGATAACTTAAGTTGACAATAATTATCTTCCATCATGGTAGGGCTTGTGTTTTGCTAGTATTCATAATGCAAAAAATGTAAATCTTTCAAGCTGTGTTTTCCTAGTCAACACATCTTTACTTCAGCTTACACTCATAGGAGTTCAGGAAGTTTGTACTGCAAGGGTATGTTCAGGAGTGCACACAGTGGTGTGTGTGTGTATGAACGAAAACTCAAAGCAGAATGCTGAGAATATTTTCCTGCCTGAAACTGTATTGTAGATTAAATGAGAGATGAGCAAGTCCCGTTTCCCTTATGGGTTTGAGTGTGTGTATGGTTTCCCTTTTACAGTTCTGCTTTCCTTAGGAAAGAAAAATAACTCTTTGCAAAAGCCTAGGGCAAGCATCCTTCTTTTATTCAACATCTAAAGTATAACCCCCCTCAAGAATGGAGGTTGTTTAGCACCACACTGGAGGACAAACCTCTATTCACTACATGTCCTAGACTAGAATCAGACCACTGGTTTACATGCTGCTGCTGTCTCTGCTGCTGATGCATTAAAGCAGGATGTGTCTCTTGTCCCAAAGGGTTTGAACCAGGCTAACTAAATTTTACATTAGGCGTTAATGCAGTGTAGCATGTTATAGTTGAATGTTGATGTTGGAGACTTTGTTTACTGTGCCAACTGTATCATTAAATCATGCTTTCCTCCCTCATACCCCCAGCACTTAATTTTGTTCTTTAAGAGATTTGTCAGTTGGGATTTTAACCCTTACTTTAGGAAAGAGGAAATTCCCCTCTCTTTAGTTTGCTTAAATGATTATAGGATCATAGTAGGAATTTACTGTCTGAAAACAACTCGACTGTACCTCATTTGATGGGAAGTTCATCTCTAAAATGCTTGTGCATATTAATCTTAAGTTTAAGACTGGACAGACCTTTCTCTAACAGCGTAAGTCTGGTGCAAATGCTCAGAAGCGGTGTGTGGGAGTTACTGTGCTGTTAACAGCAAGAAGGAAATAACGCTGGTTGAGCATTGGCAGGGACTTCGTTCCTGCCTGACAGTGCTTGTGTACTTACTGAACTCTTCCTTCCAAACACTACAAGTGTCTGTAACAAAAGGCAAAAACTTGCACTTTAACTGTAATGTAGGAAGTGATCTTTTTCAAGTGTAAACCTGTTGAATGTATATGTTCTCCCAACAAATTTGAATGGCTTTGGTCCCGGCTGTTTGAACATAAATGCAGTATTTTGTGAAACAGCTACTTAGAGGGAAGGACTGTGGTTGAACATTAGTATACCTAGGTAGTGCTTGTACTGTGAGAGAATCTGTGTGTGGGGAGTACACGTAGGTTTGTCCGAATTACCTGAAATCTAACTGGCTTGTGTAGTGACTTGTGGGGATAGAGCAGTGGAGGTCCAAGGCTGTACAAGCCCATGGAGCATTCTGATTAAACATAAAGCCTGGGCTGGGAGTTGGAGTTACTGCAGTGTTTTGTGTTCCTTGTGCTATCTTAGACATGCTTCCCCATGCTGCCTTTGTCTTCCTTTTGCAAGATATTCTTAGAGGAGTACCGTGTGCAGCGGTGACAATGAACCTGTTTTCTTCCAATATCAGTCAGTCTTAGTCTTGCAGGTTTCATTCACTTACCTTTTGGTTTGTGGACTATGTTTTGCATTGGTTATTTGGTGGTTGGAAGAAGGACAGCTGAAGTTAGCAAGATTTCCATCAGTACCTCTCATCCTAGTTTGAAGAAAGAAACTGATTTTACCTCAGCCTGGATGCTGTCTTAACTGTCCAGATATGGAGGTGGTTCCAGGTGAAATGAGCTTGCAGCAATACTCAAACATGGCTATCTTCTGCTCAGCCCCAATGCAGTAGGAGATGGAACAGTCTCAAACTGTGCCTGTCTCATTTGTAGAAGTTACTCAAAGGGTCCTAAAGGAAGGAATCCATTCTCGGTTTGGGAAAACACTGTGTTCCTTTTACTGTCAAATTCAAAATAGTTCCTCAAGCTCTGAGTTGACTCTAACAGCGCACAAAAAATTCCTGTGTCATTTACCAGCACTAAGAAGTGCTGCTGAAGTAACTTACTGCTAGCAGTTGTGGTACAATCCACTAGCTAAAAGAGTACACTATAGGAAACCTATGCACCTCACAAAATGTGGGTTTTGTTGTTCTTTCACATGAGGGATGTTTTGATCAAAAGTAAACTCCAGCCATTTTACCTGAGTTTTCATACAGCATAGATGAGCCCTGAGTGAGCTGGATGTGAAATGCCATATAGAAATGAAAAGCTGTGGTGATGTCGGACCTCTTTGGATGAGGCTGGGATAGCTCATCTGTATTGGTGTCTTAATAAGAGTAAATACCCATTGCACAGTTTAATGTTCAGTTAAACTGAAAGAAACCCAGAAACCCTCCTTAGAGAGATTCCATACTGCTGTTGCAGTCACTGGTAAACCAACACCTCAAAAAATAAAAGTAGCCAATTACCTTTTTAATTAGGTATTGAACTTTCTTCTGTAGAAACTTCTATATGCTCTATTTTAGAAAAGCGCATTGCATTAAAAATGGCTCTATTCTGATACACAAATTACATATTTTCTGTGAAGCTAGTCATAAAATAAGAGAACACCATATATAAGATTTTGATTTCACTGGGGAACTGTTCCTAGTAATAAAGAGCATAGAGAGGTCGCTCCACCACCGGTTTTATTTGGTTTGAAAAATATAAAATAGTTTGTCCATATGGTCTTATGTTACCTAATTGCTTCATCTAAAAAGAATGTAGGGTTGTGTATCTTAACTCCATGATTTGTGCAACATTTTAAGAAGGGACTATTTTTGTGGGATTTGGATTATACCACCTTAATTTTAGTGGATACTGTTTACATCCTAGTTCACAAAAATAGCTTAGTTTTTTACTTTTTAATAAAAAATATGTCGTGCAGGGCAGTTAGTGTTGACTTATTCAATGTTTGAAGATTTAAATATGCCAGGAAGGCAGGCTTTTTTCTAACGGTGCTGCCAGAAGGCTGAGATTTTTTTTGTCGCTGGAATTTAATTGCATTAAATTAACAAAGCTTTTTTTTTCCCCTTTTTTCAGGCAGATTCCAGAGTAAAAGCTCTTAATGCAACATTCAGAGTGAAAAACCCAGACAAGTAAGATTCCACATCCTTCTCCCCTCCCTTTCTCTTTTTCAGTTACAACTGTAACTTCAGATGACAGAATATTCTGTCTCCTTAGAATAAATTTAGAAAAGAAAAATTATCTTTCTGCACTTCAAATCTTAACAGAAGCCCAGTAAGGAGATAGTGTGAAAAGGTTTGATAAATACTGTTTCTAGGAGCAGGAGACACTCAGAAAAATGCCATCACTTTATGCAAAACGAGTCTTTCATTTTAGCTAGATTAAACGGAAGGGACAAAAAAGACTCAGAAAAAAAAAAACCCTCTTAATATTTGGTTGCTGAGAAATCTTTCCAAGCGTGAACAGAATACAGATTGATAGTAGGTCTTTCCAAATATCTGCTAGTGTGCAGTCCTGGATGCGTGCACCCTGGTGTTGCAGTTCATAGTTCTCTTCAAGCTGCCAATTTTCACAGATGCTTTTGGAAGTCCGGAGGTCAGTTCAGCTCTGTTGCGGTTTAAGAAGCTCTGGGACAGGCACTAGAGCAATCTGCTGGATCAAAACCTGGTCAGAATTGTCAGGGTATGTAGTGGGAGGTTCATCACACTCTAGGTGATGTGAGAAGGGTAAAATGAGAGTTTCTACTTCTGCAGTAGTTAGAAAGACTAGCGTGCAGCAGTAGGGTCAAGAGATGTTGGCATTTGCCATCAATAAGCAATAGAGACCTGTACAAAGTGCCCTTCTGGATTCATCTGCTGTCCAGTAGTGGCAACGAGATACTATTTAGGGACAGCCCATGTGTCTGAGTGTTTTCTGTTGTCTGTTCCCTTTGTACTTCCCTAGCATCTATGGGTATTTGTATTCCCCAGCATCTATCGGTATTTGTATTAAGGATGTTAGAGGGTCCGTACCTTTCTGAACCTCTTTGTAGATTTACCTGTGAATTAGTGCAGTCCCTCCTTTTTTATTGTGTTTGCTTTTGCAGCCTTCTGTAGCAGCCAGAAAGCATTTAGCTAGGGTTTAATATAAGAGATGACATTCACGCATGAGATCAAAAGACAGCAATTTTCTCAGTAGCTACAGGTGAAATTGACCCCTTGTTTGAATACTTTGTCCTCCATCATCTTCGGCTGTGGCTATCAGGAGCTAGCTTTTCCTGCTTTCACAGCAGGGAAGCTTTGCCAGTAGTTTGCCTATAGGTATAGGTGGGCAAGACTGGGTAAGGCTGAGATGAGGAATATACTGTTGTCTTTTGAGGTAACTTAATGTTTCAGAAAGCAAAGCTGTTGTGAGAAGTGCCTTGGTAAAAAGGAGAAGAGTTAATGCAAGAGGAATGTGAGGAAGGGCCTGTAACAAAAACAGTCCCTGAGTATTTAACTCAATAGAGACTTCACAGCACTTAAGAGATATGGCACATGCTTTCTCTTGTAGCTGGCAGAATACATAGCTTCCAAATTCAACTTTAGGATACAAGTTGTTTCATAAATAACTGATGAGCATAACTTTTTTTTTTTTTTTAAATTCAGGGAGAGCCTTTTATTATAGCATGTTGTGGCTCTAACAGGAGGAATAGTGCCTTGCTCAGCCCTGCACACTTAAACTTGAACTGCCTGGAATCCGACACCTTACCCCTCTACCCTTACCTCTCCTGCTTGTGTGACTGGGTGGTAAAGTGGGTTCAGCAAGCTCACCTTGCTGAAATAAAAGATCTGACTGCTGTGTGGAGTGTAGGCTTTCAGGTTCCTGGACCAGCAAGGGTTTGGTTGAAGAATAGCTGCAGCTTCCACTCCAGATTGCCTCGTGGTGCTGTGGGGCTGCACCTTAGAGCAATGTGAGGAGCTTTAACAGCTGAAACAGTACTGCTCAAGGAGTTCCAAATGTAGACTAGAAACTAAACCTCCTCCTGTGGGAAGCAATTAATATCTGTAATGATGGAATTTTAGGGTGATAAAAACGTGACATTCTGGTACTCGAGGGTGAATTTTTATCTACTGCAGACCTCTAATTTTGGCCCTATGGCACTCATCCTCTTATTCTTTTTCTGTGCTTTAATGAAAACGATATCTTTCTTCTTGGTGAAAGTTTTCTTTGGAAAACACTAAATCCTTTCCTGAGGCAGTTTTTTGTTGTGTTGTTTTTTTTTTTTTTAAACAAGTAACTCTCCTTTTCTTGTCTGGTTAGTTGGACAAGTGGCTTGTTCTTTCGTGAACAGTTCTGTTCTTGTAATGTCTTCCTTCACTAAACAGGAAAATGGCACTGCCCTCCCTGATGTAGGGAGGAGTATTGCCAAGTAAAATGCACAAAGTAAATAACTTATATTGAAATGCTGTCTACTGCAAACGAAATTTTCTTCTTTGCCATTCCCATAAAAGATATTTTTGAGAAGAAAACTGGTAGTGTTCCTACAGAAATGTGACCTGATCTGTTAATTTGTGTCTGAAGTTCTACTAATAGCTCAATTAAATATCTAGACTGTTGGTAATGTTGCAGAACCAGTAAAACCAAGTGAAAAGCACTAGTTAAAGTCTCAGTTATTGAGTGCCAAAACTATGTCTTGTTTCACACTTCTACTGTTATGATGCACTGAAAAGTAAACATCCCTTTGTGTGCCTCACCAAACTCAGTTTGGAAATGACTTTATAATTAGTGATTATTTTTTTTTACATGACCAATGAGTAGGACTTAAGCAAATACTTGAGTAATAAACCATTGATCTGCAACACCAGCAGTCTTTTAAAAACAGGTGGTTTTTTTCCTGAAAAACTGTATTTGTAAAATTTTCAACCTTCACAGAAGATTTGGCAAAAAATAGCATCACTTTGGTTTATGCTTTTCTGAGACAACAAAAAGAAGACAACTTGGTTATGAAGTAGTAATATTTTAATTATTATTTTATTTTTTAATGGAGGAGGAATTGGTGTGGGAGATGTATTACTGCTGAGGTCCAGCATACTAGAAGTCTTCTTAGGTTCCTGACTTTTGCCATCAGGGAGTATGGCGTTCCTAAAAGCTTTCTTGCCACAAAACTGGATAAATAAAACTTTTCATTATAAATTTCTAGAGCGGAAAGGGGAGTCTTCCTGAGCTGAAGACATGCTTTTTAATCTTTTGTTTCTAGTTCAATTATTTCAAATATCTTCGCTGTACGTGTCTGCAGCTGTCTGACATCCAGCCCTGGTGCATATTTTATAAAGTGTAAACTGAAAAGATTGCTCTCTAAACCCCACTGTGCAGATCAATGACTATATTTATTTTTCCCATACAGTTTCTCTGCTGGCTTTTAAATCTTTATATGTACTTTAACCCTGTGTGTGTCATAATCTTATAAAAGATGCTCCTTGGAGATCAAAAATATTAGAAATGGTAATAAAGCTCCTACTTCCTGAATGTGAGGAGGAGAATATTTTAGGGGAAGACTTCCTGGCAGGGAAAGAAGAAGTGTTAAATGAAAAACCCTGAAATTTCATACTTGGTCACCCAAAACAAGTGACCTGACTCATTTCAGTAAGACCTCTTGGGTATAAACTCTTCTGAAATACAAAGCCTGTCTGTGTGCTTGTGATGGGAGGAGGGGTAAAGGTTTTAATGCTTGAACATCAACCTGGAAGGCTAATCTTAGTCTCCCATTCCTTAATTCTAATTGTGTTCTTCTGTGTGTGTTTATTTTCAGATCGTTGTTTAGTAATTTGGGTAAAGCTGTTTCTGGCTTCCCATCTGGATGAAATACATTCTTGTGTACTGAAGTAGGTCATGAGTTGGACTTGTGTGTGGTAGGGAGGGTTTATGTATACAGAAGTGGCTGTTGCTGTGGCTTAATTGGCTACCTGTCACTAGCAAAGCTGTGGCAACTGATTCAACTTCATCATTAGCACGATCTGAATATATCAACTTAGACTACCACCAAAGCTTCACTGGGGTGGTGAATAAAATGCTTCTCCTTCAGGAGGGGCAGGCCAACACGAGGTGTGCACGTGGTCACTTGCAGTGGGTTACCTGACTGGTACCTTGATAAGCTCTAGTGACTTGATTGCTTTTAGCCTTGCTTGATTCCTGGGCAGGTACAGGTCGCAATAGGGTTTCATTTGTAACTAGTTACAGATACCGTATGGCTTAGTTTAGAGAAGTTGTGATAATTGTGAATGATTCCTTGAGCTTCTGAAAGGCTATACTCAAAACTGGCTAGATGGCAGCTTGAAAGTTAAGTATCCTTGTCAGATCAGAGATGTGAACACATCTTTATTAAGAAGTGCGTATGCTTCAGCAGATTTTGGCTTTGTATTTATTTGAAGCTTTCCTATTCACTCATGCTTGCTTTTAAAAATCCCATTTTTAAAAAAACCCAACACAATGATGTAGTAATTCCAGTTAACTACTTGTATTTCATAAAAAAAAATTCTCTGCATTGTTCTGAACCTTCATCATTTACATTTAAAAAAAAAAAAATTGTGCAAGTGTTGGGTTGTTCACTTTAGAGAAATTAAACTGTGCAGTCACTTCTTTAGGAGTCTTCAGCTAATTCCACCTCAACATAATCCAGGCTCCGTCTCACTGGCTGTGGCTTTGTGGCTCTATCTTGCCTTCTGTGAAAGCTTGCTTTCATGATGGCTAATGATGTACTATCTGTTTCCTGCTCCCAGGAGATTTACTGAGCTAAAACACTATAGCGATGAACTGCAGTCTGTCATATCACACCTTCTGCGAGTCAGAGCTGTAAGTATTTCCCATGTGTGTCGTGACAAATAGTATAATTTATTTATAAGGCAGTATTTCTTCTTTAGTCAAGAGAACTGGTATATGTGCTCTAGAATAAGGGTGGTTTTGCTTGAGCTCTGGAGTGTGGGGCAGGAGATGGCAAGGAGGGAGGC